AGATTAGATTTTAATTTTCATTATTATTACTATATTATCAATATTAAATTTTATTTTTGTTAGCAAATTATTTGTAATAAGTTCTAGCAAACTATTTGTGAATTACATTATACATAGACAATAATTCTTTAGCAATATAATTTTATACTACCTAACCTATTGGCTTTTGAGCAAAAAAAAAATTGTGTTTTGAATCTTGAAACAAATATAGCTCTCAGCACAAATTTCAACAACTTTTAGTACATTAGCAAATTGATTTATGCATGTTTAATTAATTAGCAAATTTTTTTATTAAGATATTACCATGTAGATAACTTAAAACTTCCTTTTTTGCTTCATGATTGTGATTTTGTTGAGTTTAACTGATCTGATTCAGTAAAATTAGATGTGCTTAATAATTCATTATATTGATGGCTTGATAATTTATTGCTTTGATCATCTTAACAACTTTGTATACTTATAAAGAAATCATTATCATTTGTCACAAGTTCATTTGCATTCATTGTAGCTATAACATATTATATAAAAGTGTAACTAGTGTGTACTAAATTAATTCGATATTCATTTAATTTTTATTTAAATATTTAAAAATAAAACTTTACAATTTATGTAATTCTATAATTCTAAATATCCAATTATATATAATAAAACGTAAAAGTTTATTTTAATTAAGTTTATTATTAACTAGTCTTAACTGTTTAAAAGACTTAGTTAAAAAGACTGGTCCTTAACTGGTCTTTACAAGACTGATCCAACCCTAATTACAATACTCCTATCAAAAATTTTTAGCTATATACTAGGTACTTAATATTTATATTAATAGTGCCCAGCATTTAGTGCCTATAGTGCCCGGTACTTAGTGTCTATAGTATTCGGCACTTGGTGCCTATAGTAACTTGGCACTTAATGCCTATAGTAGTGCCTATAATGCCTGGCACTTAGTGCCTACCTATTATAATGCCTGACATCTAGTGCCTGTGCCTATTATAGTGCCTGGTACTTTGTGTCTATGCTTATCATAATGCCCGGTATTTGTGCCCATGCCTATAAAAGTGCCTAGTATTTTTATGCCTATAGGCATAGGCATGACATAAGGCACCAGATGCCTGGCATAATGCCTATATGCCTGGCATGGGCATTTGCAGAGCCCTAATATATATACTAATATTATTTTGTAAATTACTTATACTTTTTTGTTCTAAATTCATCATAAATGTATAATTTATTTTGCTTATAATGACCAGTTATAATTATTGTGTCACTTAAAAAATGCATAATTAGAGGTTTTTTAAAAACCACAAAATGAGTGTCAATCAAATTTGATCATAAGTCATGGGGTTTACATTATTTAAATTTGCTAGTCATATGATTTATAGAATGTAAAATATCATAATCTAAAAAAAAAAAGAAATAGAACAATAATTATGATTGTCTGTGTATGTGATTTATGTGATATCATCAATTGCATTAAGCATAAAAAAAATAGTAACAATTATAACAATTACTATAAATATTATGTAACTGATAGTAATTTTGAATATATTTAATCAGCATATAAGCCACAAAGATATGTATCTGAGTTTTTTGATGGTTATACTAGAAAGTCCAGTATGATGATTATTACTGTTACTATGTTATTGATAAATTATAAAATGAAACTTAAGATAAAACAGGATACCATGATGCAAAAAAAAATTATTCTTATGTGATCATCAAGATTCTGACTTATCCTTAAACATCTTTCGTTGCATTTCTAAATCACAATAATCATGATCATTGGTATAAGTGTTTTATCTTAGTTAAATAAATTATTTTATTTATAAATATTAGAGCATGTAAGCAAATGCTGTAATTAGTCATTATTATAATGAATTACAACAAATAATGTCATAATTCATTATAATTACAACCAAATATGGGCTCATCTCTATATATGATTAACACGAAGAAAAAATAATTTGAACTTATTATTTTTCAAATCGCTCATTATTGTGTAATATAATAACAAACATTGTAATGAATCAATTAACATCGCTAAAATTGTATCAGTCAGGATTTTAACTGTCGGTCACAAACCTTTGACCAACCAATATCGGTTACGGTTATGACCGGTCATAACTGTAACCGACCCACCCTTAATCATTGACACCATCGAACCGGCGTCGGCGTTTCGGTCGCTTCTCAGATGGATACGTCGTGTAACCTACGAACGGCTTAGTCGATAAGAGGCAGTTAGATTTGGTGAGTGATGTGTTTATGATCGTAGGTTTTATAATATGATTAAACAGGGAAATTATTGGGAGCGAATTTATGATGAGAACTAACTGAACTGTTCTTGGAGGGCTCGAAGCCTTTATTATATACTTTCATTTACATAGGACACATTATACATTCGATTCGTGATATCTCACTTATAACGTTTATACTAATTATACTGATGATAATGTTTATACTGATTATTTTAATTATACCCTTGATCCCACTGATACCCATTATTCACCCCGATGCATAGGATACATGGTATACGGCGAATACAGCGTATACGGTATACTGCTGGTAAACTCATTTAAGGTAGGTGATCTACATACCCGTCACTGATCACAAGCTTCCAGCACCACCATCCTACTGCTCACATCATGCAGTAAAGGATTAGCAAAAATTTTCGCGAGTTAGGGATGAGCCACTGCGCAGCCTGCAACATTATGCAATCTGACCAGAATTATACTAGCTGGTCAGAATTATGCTAGCTAGCCTGAATTCTAAAAGTCACACTGCGCAGTCATTCAAAAATTCTACTACGTATAGTATATAGTGTACTGTATATAAAGCACATCACTACACTTGTCCAATAGTGCAAAAATCGATATATTTACTAAATGAAATACCGATATTATTCACGTGGTTTTGCGTGACAACGTTGCGCAGCCATCTTATTAATATGTGCTTTATTGCATTGCGTAACATTCATTTTGCAATTACGTACGTACGTACGTGTATCACATACCAGATACGCAATGTTAGCGAATTTGGTTGATATTTGTTACTGATTAATGATTAACATTATCATTAAAAACTTCCAAACAGATGCGCTTAAAACTCCGTTTAATAACCAATTCTTCCTTTCTTATAAAGTCCTTATCGCTTGTCAGTGTTAAACTTCCATATCTTACCGCAAAGTTACATTTAGTCTATTACATCATTCCCATTTTTTGCCTCAATAAAATCATTACTAGTACAGTAAGTAATTTATATAGTAAATTTTTATTTTGTCAAGATTGCTTGTTTTTATTATAATAAATGGTGTTGGATTATAATCACACAATTGATATAATACTCCTTTTAAAAGCTCTTGTATCTTGACTTTATATAAACGAGAGTAAATTTAACAGATGAATTAATATTTTCGTTTCGCCTTATAACATATTCTTTGAGTCCCTGTGAATCCCACGACTTTTTTACGCAATCTGAATGTCCAATTTACTAAAATTCGATATGTGTAATTATATCGGAATCATCTACAAATTTGAACGGTCGCTCCCGTCGAAAAAGGGCTTCGGGAAAGTGCAGAAGTGAGCGACAATATATTTAAATTTAAATCAATTTGTAGCTTAAACAATTTAACATCGGTAATTAAAATAAGCCATTACGTATCATTCTTTATAAATCTAATATATTATTGTAATTATTTGGACTAATCTATAATCTCTTAAAACCAGAACTTAATGACCGTTGGACTGGTTAAAATGCTAATCTATATTCGATCTTTCAAGGTTTGGTTCGTCCCTATCTCTAATGAATCATATAAAATAGACAGACCACCGAAAAATGCAAATTCAAGAGCGCATTTTTTTTTTTTTAGTTTTTTTTAGAGTTGCTTTAGATGTGTTTAGAAAATTAAACCGAAACCCTCAATTCCGGTTTCATTATAAATTGCGACGAGTAATGAAAACGTCGATTCAAAAAGGCATATCGGGTCTATTTACGTATATATGTTGTTGACTAAAGTGATGGATTAGTTATTAGCTTCGAAGATGTATAGTCAACACATGAGATATATATATAAATAAGAGAGATAAAAGTTATAAATAAACGTATAAGAAATAAAATATAATATGGATGTAATAAATTTAATAGATATTAGTAATACTGCCGGTCTTTTAGTCACGTGTTATTTTGTAACAGTTTTATAATGCTGTAATGTCGACTAGTGATGTGCAAATTTCGATTTTTTCAATGGGAATTTTTCGGAATTGCTCGCTAAGATAAAACTCCAATAAACTAAATTGATTCTGTCAAACCATTTAAAACTTTTTCCGAGTTAATTCACGGATCGCAAGTTATCACAAGTCCAATCACTACCTATACAAGATTATATGCTACGAAGTTTACAAAATTTACAATGTATTCAAGTGTTTACGACAATATTTTGTAGATTCATCTCATTGATTTCTTTATTTCATAATAGTGAATTTTGAGACCATCTAATAAAATAAAAAGGTTTTCAAAAATTTGTAATTTCATTTCATTATAATAATTTCAACTTTATTATATATAATGCGTTATCTTTTGTCAGGTTCTAAGAACTTTGATAAAAATATCTTGGTCTTTCTTCTAGCTTCGAAAGTTCACTAATTCAATATTCCTGATATTTTCTCATAAAAAATATTCTACTTTTCGATTTTAAACCATTTACAAACCTCAGTAAATAATTTGCATTCGGAAATATGTACCATGTTTGTGTACTACAGTGATTGGATAATATTCATTTGATAGCAGTGAACTTTATGGCAAAGAATAATATTACATTAATTATGTTACTAGTACAATTTGTGACTTTAAGTATAAAATTCACTAAACAACAAAATATCCTAAAAATTATAATACAATTAAATTATTAAGAAATTGAAACAGGAAAGTATGAAAGCCTTGATTAAATTTCATATTTAATTATACTACAAATCATCACGAAATATAAATAAGGTATTAAATTAAATAATAAATTATAATGGTTTCCTAGGTTTAATTTTGATTTTTAACTCAAGACAATTAGTAATGAATCCAGTATGCGTTTTTAAGGGAGCTTCCATATCAGTTAATTCTACGTCATATTTTTTGAACATCAATGCCATAAAAGTTAGCATATTAAGCATTGCTAACTTTCTTCCAGGACAAATTCTAATACCACCACCAAACATAATTAATGAATATTTGTTTTTGTTATGAATAGACTTTTTATTCTCATTTTCAAAATTGCTTAAATCGCCATTAAATTCACCCAATTTGTTTTGCAAATAAAACCTGTCCGGATCAAAAACGGTAGGATTTGGCCAATACTTCTCATCCATATGAATGCTAGCCAAATTTATGTAAAATATAGTTTTGGCCGGCCATGTGTATCCAGCAACTTCGCATTCTGCACTTGAAACTCTTCTTATTACTGGCGTTATTGGCGCTATACGACAAGCTTCTTTAATTATTGCTTCACAATACTTAAGCTTTGTAAGATTTTCAGCAGTTATGCATAATGTGCCGGAAGAATCATTTGGAAAAACTGAATCAATTTCATCAAATAACTTTTGTTTTACGCGTGGATTACGACAAATATAGTAAACTACGCTGCATAATGTGTTTGAGGACTGCAGAAAAGTAAAGATGTATATAAAAATACAGATTAATAATATTTTAATAATATATAAACAATATACATTGAAAATAAATATAATTGAATTGAATCAAATCATTAAATATACCGTATCAGATCCAGCAAGAAAAACGTCCAATAAAAGTGCTCTAATATCTTCATCAGTTAAAGACTCTATCGCCTTACTTTTTGCATCATGATTTGAAGTGATAAGAGTTAACAAATCATGCTTCGAATTTAATTTCTGAGGTGTATTTGCAAAATCAAATTTTCTCTCTTCAATCATATTATTCAGCGTTTTCATCATGTAATTGTTATTTTTTAGAAAAGCATTTGCTTTATTTTTAAAAAATGGTACATGACGTATCAAAAATGGATGAATAAAATAAAAAAACGTTAATCCTTCCTTATATGTCGCGATAGCTTGGGCGAATCTATCAGAATTATATAATTCAGGATTATCAACAAAAAATCTTTCATGCTTAGATTTATCTGAGTTGAATGTATTATAATATGATGCCATTGAGCAACCATGCTCACCAGTTGCTATAATTGAAATATTATCAGTCATAAATCTATTTATCCATGGTGAAAAGTCTATTTCCAACCAATCATAATTAGAAGATTGAGATTTTCTAAGCAAATTCCAGTATCCATCCAACTCTTTAAATAATTCATTTGTATTATTTATAGCTTCTTTATTGAAACCAGGAGTTGAAATGGATTGTAAAAGGAATGACTTATTAATCTTCCAAGTATCGTAATTATTATTAAGGAACATTCCTCGTCCAAAATTTCCAAACTTATCTGCAGTCGATATATATTCAACTTTTGTAAATAATGCTAAATTCTTTGATGGTGATAATAAATCATCGAAATGATCTGTTTTAGTGAGAAATATTCTTCTATAACCACCCAATCTGAATTCACAAATATCTCCATATTTTTGATTTAAGTTTACAGCTAGGTGTTTGAAGTTACCATCAAAAAATAGTTTCTAAAATAGATTTATGAATATATTATCGTGTAAAAAATTATTCATTGCTCAGACATAAAAAAAAAAAAAAAAAATTAATACCTCTAGTCCGAACGGTAAAGGTAGAGGACCAGGAAGTGGATTTGGACGGGTGAAATAATTGTAATAAAAATTAAAAAGGTATAAAAGGAGTGTTGAGAAGATAATGAAAAGATAGTCGGTGGCATTTAATAATTCAATAAATTGAAAGGACATTTTGAGAATTGATTTCTAGTTAAGTACATATGCGCGTTTTATAATGCATGTAATGTTGCTTGTTGTAATAAATTCCGACCAATTACGGAATATACACTGGTTAAAAGATTATATATATCTTGTAATATATAGTACAAATAATAACTTAATTCACTAGATAACAATATAGTTTAAATTTACCAGTAAATCTATTTAAATAATGGAATAATAGGTTTAGTCAAAAAAAAACTGTAATAAACTACTATATTTAGTCGTTAAACTGATTCAATCCCTAATCTGGCAAATAAGAAATTATTTGTACTATATATTACAAGATGTTATTTAGTTAAATTTGATCTTTTTAACCAGTGATAGGTGTAATAATTTATTTATACCCAATTTTGACCGTCATGACAAGGTATATGTATCACTTACGAGTTTTATCGTATCACTATTGTGGAATTTTTTTTTTTAGGCTTGCGTTTTACACATTAATATTTGTACTCGATAAAAAAATGTAGTATGGACTACGCAATGGTGAATTTGTGCTTTACACAAGTGTTAGTAATACCATAGACAGATAAAGCTATACATTTTGTAATTTAGTGTTTTAGCATTCATATGGGATGATTTTTGAAATTTTACATTTTTAATCTTGAATAATTATTGATCTGCCCAACCGTTTTGAATAGAACAACAACCATAATGTTGTTTCAATGAGACAATATTTTCGTAGTAGTTCCATTTAAAACGGTCTGGTAGATCAAAATTTATTCAAGATTAAAAAATGGAAAATTCCAAAAATTAGCCATATGTTTAGCGTTTTAGGTTTTAGTGTTATAGTATCGTAAATTATTTCTATAAAAGGAAGTATTTCTCCGTAGTGTTTTGTACACGAATATCATAAGCACTCAAGTTACAAATTTTGTAATTTAATATTTGTGTTTTTGTGTTTATTTACTTTGGTGTTTTAGCGTTTGGTTTTTTAATGCTGTAATGTTTTAGCGTTTTAGTGTTTTAATGTCGTAAATCAGAATAACATTAAAATGTTAAAAAAATTAATATATATACATTAGAATGTTATAATGCTATAAAGCTAAAATACTAGAACATTAGAACACTAGATACTAGAGCACAAGAATAATAAAATACTGGAATAATAATGCACTAGAGTACTGGAATAATAGTGCACTAGAATAGTAGCCACTGGAGCACTAAAACACTAGACTGCTAGAGCACTAGAACGTTAAGACACTAGAATGTTAAAACACTAGAATACTAGAACACTAAAAACGCAAATCGAATTACTATTATGATGTACAAAAAGTGGAATTTTTTACGTAATGCCATAGGTGCATAAAGTGATACATTTGTAAATTAGTGTTTGTGTTTTTGTGTTTGTGTTGTTGTGTTTCAATGTTTTGGTATTTTAGTGTTTTTAATATTGCGAATCATTAAAACATTAAAATGCTAGATTGCTAAAATACAGAACGCTAGGATACTAGAGTACTAGAGCACTAGAATACTAGAGTACTAGAATAATAGAGTAATAGAGCACTAGAATACTAGAGTAATAGAGTATTAGAATATTAAAAATGCTAGTGCTCTAGAACACTAGAACGCTGGATCATTAGAATACTAGTACACTAAAACGCAAATAGAATTACTATTATACAAAAATGTACGGAATACCATGGGTACACAAAGTGACAAATTTTGGAATTTTAATATTTTAGTATTTTTGTATTTGAGTGTTTTGGTTTTAATGGTTTAATGTTTTAGTATCGTAAATTACTTCTCTAAAAGAAGTATTGCTTAATTTAATAATGACTTTAGGAAAAACCTAGTTCCACCATGTTGTTTGCACGACTTTCAGCTACACAAACTATTACAAACATTTTGTCATCATAAATTACGAACAATAGTAGAAATAAGCGTTTCCTAAATTTAATAATTGATAACATTAAAAAGTTAAAACATTAATGCATTAATAAATTAGTATGCTAGAATGCTAGAATGTAAAATACTAGAACACTAGAGCGCTAAAATTCTAGGACACTAGAACACTATAATACTGGAATGGTGGAGCACTAGACTTTTAAAACACTAGAGTACTAGAGTGCTTGAACACTAGAACACTAAAACACAATTCAAGTTACTATAGTAGGATTACTATTTAGTGTTTTAGTGTTTTAATATTTTGGTGTTTATTGAGTTAGGAAGCTTGTTTCAAAAATAATTATAAATGGGAACCAATCAGAATGATTTCTACAAAAAGATAATTGGTTAATCCTTTCAGATATCTGATTTATTAAGGTAGATATCTGGATTTAACAATGCGGATAAATGGATGCAGATTTATCTTAAGGTGATAGGAAATAATAATTGATAACGCATGTTTTTGGCACAGTTTTTTTTGAACTACAAACTAATTTCAAAATCAGGCATAGTATAATATGATCAGGAAAACTCGGAGCAAGCACTCATTTCGTCAAAGATCGCATATTTCTTCAATAATTAAATAAAAAATGACACCTTTAATTATAACCTGATATAATTTCTGGTCTTAAAAGTTTATTCGCACCATAAATCTGAACATATTTCAGGCGTGTATTATTCCTTAAACTGTTTTCCAGGCAAATTTGCCTGGAAATTTCATGATTGGTCTGTGATTAAGCTATCAAATTATATTTTAATTGTAGTCTAAATCGTAGTAGATACGTAGTTAAATTGACAATTTAAGGGATAATTGCAGGGATTTCAAAGAATTTAAAAGATAATGATATGGTTATAAATTCGAAACTTGATTTTTTTACTTTTGTAACACAGACTGATTGCATATTACGATTAAAAAATAAATAGATACTGAAGCTGAAACTAACAAATTAGATACAGTAATTTTAGATTAATCACTATAATCAACAATGTTTGAAACCATTTTATTAAATCAAGTTAAAAAAAACCCATAAAATTCATTAAAAACCGATTTTTTATCATCTTTATACAATGCATATATACAACAACTAAAATACTGAATTCTTATAACTAAAAACTAAAATACTAAATAACTAGAAACCTAACCACTAAAATCTTAAATTATTAGAACAACAAAATATTAAATAACCAGGCGTTAAAACACTAAATCACTAGAACACTAAATTATGATGTGACATATGTGTAAAATTTTTTATGATTTAGTGTTCTAGTGATTTAACGTTTTTGCATTTTAGTAAATTAGCATTCTAGTTACGTAGTATATTGTTATTTTAATAATTTAGCATTTTAATATTTAGTACATAGTTAATGCAAGTAGTATATTATTAAACATTCATTTCTATTATATAAATCCAAAATAATGTTTATTTGCATATTAATTAATTGACTTGAGTGTTATTTAGAGTATGTTTCATGTGCATTATTTCATGATCTCTTTTATTAAGCATTATGAAGAATATATAATGGGAGTTCTGGGACCTCTATGGTTGATAGCATAATGGTTATGCTCCAAGGTCACAAATCACAAGGTTGCTAGTTTGAATCCTAGTGATGGCAATTGTAGAGATGTATTTTCAAAAATAGAGAACTGCAATATCACAGAACTAGGGATCTGTGATGTCCATAGACAGACTTATTTCTAGAAATGGCAAGTGACCTGCAATTGAGAAGTTACATAGTGACGAACATGAGTTGGAGCTTGATTTGGAATAACTAAAGTTATTAGACATAATGTAAGACCGAAGTCTAACAATAAGAAATACTACATAAACTCATAATGACAACTGGTTCTTAATAGAGCCTGCTAAAGTCTTTTGATACTGGCAGAGATCAGTATAATAGTTGCTTCTAGAAAGTTTAAAAATACAGATTGCAGAATGTTGAGGTTTAGTATCAGAAGTATATTGAGAATAATAGTTTGAAAAATGTGATAATTATGCTGAAAGATCTTGGCAAGACTAGTCAAAGGAAAAAAAAAAATTAAGAGTTTTGCTCTACTTTACAAATTTTATATTTATTATTACATATTTTGTCTAGTGATCTAATTATTATTATTTATTTTTATATAATGAAGATTTTAATAAGAATCAAAGGTATGAATCTATGTTAATGATATAACACATACTACTTTTCTAATATAATAAGTTTAAGTTAATTTATAATATAATGCATTCTATTTGCTATAAAAGAGTATCAAATATAATGATAAAAAGAAGTAAAAAGAGCCTAATATGAAAGATTAAATTATAATTAGATAGAAAAATAACAAGTGAATAATATAAGTAAAGTAAAAAACTACTAATTATTATACAAATTATATCTATATATATATTTATTATTATCATTATACAGGTTTACAAATCTGAATAATTCTCAATAATAATTCTAATAAAATTATTATTAATGCATTAAAGTATTACTTTTATTTAAGTTTTTTTTATAAAGTTTATAAAAAAAGGGTGTGGTAACTTAGTGAAGTGGTTAAGTTGTTGCATCCAAGATGGCCAGGTTTAGAGTTCGAATTCTACCAGTGACGATTTTCGAATAAATAAAATATATCTGGTGTTATATGATCTGTATAATGGTCAACCATATTCTGTGAAGTTGGGGTATCACTGTTCTGTGCTCTGGTCCTATAGCCCTAGGCACTGGCATTGGTGTAACATACTATGTTACATCAAGAAATATATCTGATTAAGTGGCAATAGGTGGATTTAAATCTGATATAAGTCCAATAAAAGGTGCTGATGGGAACTAATGAAGGACTGAAAACTTATCCGATCTGAATGTAAGAACTGGAAACCCATCTTGAAGTTCTGAATAGGAAAAATAAAATCTTTCTGATAGTACCAGTTAGAAACTAGAACCCTATAAGGGCAAATCATTGGTTGTAGTAGTAGGAACTATAATTAACAATTAAACAAATATGTAGTAATACTTATACAAATACAAAAACAATCAATCACCTGATACACTTACAAACACTATACACATATAAGTCAAACAAATCTTCTACAGATAAACAT